CACAAAGCAATAATGCCTTGTAGTGAATAGGATATGCAGAGAAAGAAGTTTTACTGCGCAGGTAAATTAATGCTTCCAAAAAACTGGGACAACATTTCTATGGGCAACTTCATACTTTTATGCTGGCCATATGCATAACACATTACTGACCATTGTAAGCTGTGGAGTGAGAGGCTCCAGATGTGTGAAAGGGCCAAACAGACAGTCCTACAATGTGACAGACAGGGATCTGAGCAGAGGCTGGGCTCCGTATGTTCATTTAAAGCGGCAGCTCCGTTTGGGACCGCATCTGATGTCCGCAACTCCCCTGGAATTACCAGACAACAAAAAGCCATATGAAAAGAGCTGGGACTTGTAGTTAAAGGGCTTATGCATATGGCCACCAAAAAAATGTTTTTTTTTTTTTTTCCACAGATCTGAATGCAGTTCTATTAGTTTCTACGGGCCCATGCCCACTGTTCCTCAAGATCAGTAAACTTCCATTCACATCCATAAAATCCAAAAGGTAAAATATCCATCCTAGGTCAGTATATTACACGTATTCATATAAGCACATGTAAATGCATGTATGTGCGCTTATGCATGTATATATAATGTAATGGATGTAGAATTTTACATATCTAAACGCTGTACAGATGTTTGCACATTTATATACGTTTAAATGAGAGGCACTTTATGGACCATTTCATGCATTTTATTTTATGCAGCATCTTTCAGCAAGCCTGATCCTGCAAAGACGTAGAGTCACAATAGCTATGCGCATGTACCCTAATATTTGCTGCATGCAGCTATTGGAGCACCAATACTTTTAGCTCTGTATATGCTGTGTGCTTCTAGAAATTGGATGGTTGAGACTTGTGGTTCATTACCTGCTGTGTTCTGCTATCAGAATGTTGGTTCTTGTAGTTCTTTACTGGCTGTTATTGGGACGCTCAGACTTGTAGTTCTAGCCATGGTGTGCAGTGTTAAACCCTTTTCCACCCTTGTCATCAAGTTGATACTTTGCTGATTTCCGATTACCAGGTGGCACTCATAAATCCTTGTACCAAACCAAAGAATTGTTCTAGTGTGGGTGTACCCAGTCTCACTCTGGAACCACATGAGACATCCCCAAATGACTGTCTAGGACACCAAAAAGTCATTTGACTCCAACTTGTGGGCAGCACAGTGGCTTAGTGGTCAACACTTCTGCCTTGCAGCACTGAGGTCCTATGTCTGAATCCCAACCAAGACACTACCTGCATGGAGTTTGCTTGCTGGCCCTGTGTGCATACGTGCATGTGTGTGTAGGTATATATATGAAATAAGTACCTTTGATTGTAAGCTCCTTGAGGGCAAAGCCTGGTGTGAATGTACAGTATGAAAATTGTTGGTGCTATATAAATACCTGTCATAAATAATAACTTGTTACACCCTAACCAAAGTGTACTGAATTACCTTTAATAAATACTCTGCACATTAGATGCCTTGTGATTGATCCCAGTGTTCTCCCAGTTTGTCATACAGCTAATTTCAACTAGCTTTTTTAAAACAATGGCGCACACAACCTACTACAATCTCTGTTATAAAGACATTATGGGAAGAAGTTACTAAAACTGGAGCAAACAGAATCTGGAGCAGCTGTGCATTGCAACCAATCAGCTTCTATCTTTCATTTTCAAAGTTTAACTGAATACGCAAGCCCTAGAAGCTGATTGGTTGCTATGCACAGCTGCTCCAGATTCTGTATGCTCCAGTTTTAGTAAATTCCTCCTATTTGCTTTACTGTCATTGATTTGTAATGAAATACTTGCTGAAACAGAAGAACATTACCATGGGTATGACCACCATTGGTGTAGGTCTCTAAAGTCAAATTCAAGTGGCAACTATAACATTTGAGGGAAAAAAAAAAACCCTTTAGATCAGCCATTCTCAGTAAAAAATTGAAAAAAAAAAAAAAAATCCAGTGTATATATATATTGCCATTTGTAAAAGCTAAAACTTTCACGTAAACCAATTAATTTACATGTATTGGGATTTTTCTGAGCAAAGACATGTCGCAGAATACATTTTGGCCTAAATTTATTTTTTATTTTTTAACTGTTTAATAGCAAAAAGTCAAAAATAATGTTTTTTTTTTTTAAATTGTCAATATTTTTTTTTATAGCACAAACAAATAAAAAAAAATGCACAGGCTATCAAACACCACTGAAAGAAAGCTCTATTTGTGGGAAAAAAGGACAAAATTTCATTTTGGTGCAGCGCTGCACGACCGCACAAATGTCAGTTAAACTAACGCAGCACTGTAACGCAAAAAATGATCTGGTCAGGAAGAAGGGTAAATCCTCTGTAGGGCAAGTGGTTAAATCTACATTCACACTTTCTTTTTTTGTTTCTTGAATGCGTGAGTTTATGTTTTCGAAATATGCAAAAATCGCCTGTTGTACTGCATCACCATTCATTGCTCATGGCACCCCAAATAAAAAAATGTCTGCTTGTAATGCGAAAAAACGTGCATAAAAAAACTGCACGAAGCTCGATGATGTTTCAGAAGCTTCAGAGATGCCTATTTTCAGAAGCTACTGTTCACAAAATGCTGTGAATGCAGACTCAGCTCTCGCGAGCTGACCTCCCATTTACCCTAGGTTCACACCAAAGTGTTTTCAGCAGCATTTTGTAGAAACGCACTACAGTCCATTTCAGGGGTGGACTGACAACTCATGGGGCCCCCGGGCAATAGGGGATCATGGGGCCCCTGTGTCCTTTTCAAAAAAGCCTATGAAAAAGGTACCAGGGGCATCTCATGGGGCCCCCTACTGACCCTGGGCCCTTGGGCAGTGCCCGAGTTTCCAAATGGTCAGTCCACCCCTGGTCCATTTAACATGTTCACATCTCCGTGTTTTCATCCGGTGCGTTTTTTGGAAAGGGTCAGGGACTTTTCTGAATGCAAAAAGTTGCATTTTTGGTTCTATGGACTTCAATGAAATACTGCAGAAAAGCAGGTAGTGTGTTTTGCTGCATTTTTGTCACGTTTTAAATCTGCCTAGCAACAAGAAAAAAAAATGCATCAAAAACGCAAAGCAGAAACAGATCAAATGCAAACTGCATAGGTGTGAACCTAGCCTTAGACCTGATTCACCCTGTGAATGGTATTCCTGTTTGATACACATTCAATTCAGTGCCAGATCACACTGATGCAGTGTGAATTGATGCGATTTCACAGTGCGATTTGTATTTTGACAGGTGTGACCTTAATGCAATTTCTGAAGGGGGCTAGGCATAGCTAGAGATAAAGTTTGCACCGCACCCACACTAAACTCGCACAGGACCTTTTTTTTTTTTTTTAACCGGATCAAAATCGCATTGCATTCATGCCAACTGCCTTCCTAAAAAAAAATGTATTTTCAGATGACATGCTTTTCGGAGCACATTGCTGTGAACCAGGACTCAAATGGGCTAAATTTCAAAGCACCGTACCAAAAGCAGAACACTACTAGGAAACGCACAACCGGATTGCATGGCACATGTGACCTGGTGTAGGCAAATTCACTGCGTTTGCAACCTGCATTGGGGGTGTTGTTAGCTTAACATTGACACCTGCTGCAGATCACAACTTCAGTACATTCTGATGACGGTGCGGGAAATTCACACACATTGCAAGTTTCCCACACCGTGTTCTATAGAGTTAAAGTTGTGTGCATAGTTCTGGAGCCAACTCCACTTAGCAGAGCCAGCAGCATGACACCGATGATCTTCCCTGCTGTCTGCAGGGTGGCATTCTGACCACCACCGTGAAGAGGGAGCATGCTCCTTACTGGCTACCAATGAGAGGGCCATTCCCACTGATCGCCACTAATTTTAGCGGGGGGACCTGATACGTCAAGGTTTCCTCTGGCATAACAAGGCTGTTTTAGATTGTAAGCTCCCAGGACCCTCTTGTATTGAACTGTCTCCCTTACTGTTGGTGTATACTAATAATAAACAAGACATAACATTTGCAGTGGCCAGCCATGCTGAGAGGCTGGCAGGAAAGGCTCTTGCTCAGGAGTGGTTACCTGCAGCTCAGGCTGAGTGTGGTTCTCCTCATCAGGTGAATCCTCTATGAGAACTTTGCTCTTGTTCAGCTTCCACATGGTGCAGGCTCCCAGGCTGGCCTGTGTAGGGAGGGCGATGGTGGGGTGCAGGCACACACAGCACTCCTCTGCCACTTACACTTTATACACGGCACAGCAGTAACTCCATCCTGGAAACCACAGACCTTCACCGCTCACTCCACTTCTCTTGGAAGTAATCATCATCATCACCAGCACCGTCCTGGGGAGGAGGGGAGAGCTGCGAGAGGAGGAGGAGGAGGAGGAGAGGAGGGAGGAGGAGAGATGAGAACCTGATAACAGGACACACGAGAACAATGCATGGAATGAGGGGACACCGGTGACGTCACGGCCGGGGGGTCAGAGCTCAGCACTCACCTCATCTACATGCTGTGTCCTGGAAGATGGCGACCCTCACTGATGGGACCTGAGAAGAAAGGAGAGGAGGGCATGTAAACAGATACTGGAGAAGGAGGAGGGGGCGGCTAGGGTGGCATTAGAGGGAGAGCTGTGGTGTCCTGTTTCCTTTCTATCGCCTCACCCGCCACCGAGAAACTTCTTCAGTGCGCGGTATACGCCGAGCCCTGCCCTGGGCACGGCGCCTCCTCATTGGTGCCCGCTGCTGGGAAGCGCTATATATAGAGCGGGCACCAGAGACCTCATCTTCCCGGACACACGGCCCCTCAGGGGAAGCCAGACCTCGGCTCTACCTCCGCCTGTGTACTACACAGCAAACCATCCTACCAGGGGCAGACTGACAACTCATGGGGCCCCCCGGGCATTAGGGGATCATGGGGCCCCTGTGTTTTTGCCCAAACTCAAAAAAGCCTATGAAAAAGGTACCAGGGGCGGACTGACAACTCACGGGGCCCCCGGGCAATAGGGGATCATGGGGCCCCTGTGTCCTTGCCCAAACTCAAAAAAGCCTATGAAAAAGGTACCAGGGGCGGACTGACCATTTGGAAACTCGGGCACTGCCCGAGGGCCCGGGGTCAGTAGGGGGCCCCATGAGATGCCCCTGGTACCTTTTTCATAGGCTTTTTTGAATTTGGGCAAGGACACAGGGGCCCCATGATCCCCTATTGCCCGGGGCCCCATGAGTTGTAAGTCCGCCCCTGCCAGGGGCATCTCATGGGGCCCCCTACTGACCCCAGTGCCCTCGGGCAGTGCCCAAGTTTCCAAATGGTCAGTCCGCCCCTGCATCCTACACACATTTCTACCCCAACTATCATGGGACTGCTGATAAAAAAAAAAGAGTCTTTTTGTAAGTAAACTAGAAGTTATGCTGTGCTATACTAAAGTGTTTACATGTAGTGCTACCCTCACAGGAGCCGCTTAGTAACTTGGGTTCTCTGTACTACTTCTCAACTCCAAGAATGCCCTCAGTGCCTCTGACACGTCCGCTTGAATGAAAGTTACTGCAAATGTGGAAACAGGTTACCTTTAACCGCTTCAATAGCAGGCACATTTCCCCCCTTCCTGCTCAGGAAAGTTTTCAGCACTGTCGCACTTTGACAATTGCGCGGTCATGCGACACTTTACACATATGAATTTTTTTTTCCACACAAATAGGGTTTTCTTTTGGTGGTAGTTACCATTTGTTTTTGTTTTTTTTTTGCATTACAAAGAAAAGGAAACCAAACATTTTAACCACTTCAAGTGCGGACACTTTCACTCCCTTCCTGTCCAGGCCAATTTTCAGCTTTCAGTGCTATCATACTTTGAATGACAATTGCGCGGTCATGCAACACTGTACCCCTATGAATTTGTTAGCATTTTTTTGAGACAGATAAAGCTTTATTTTGGTGGTATTTATTCACCACTGGGATTTTTATTTTTTTTTGCTATATAAATGAAAACGTCCACAAATTTTGAAAAAAAGTGTTTTTCTTTAAATATTTTGCAGCAAAATAAATAGTATTTCATCATCTTGGCCAAAATTTATTCAGTTATCTTTTTAGTAAAAAAAAAAAAAACAAATTTATAACCGAAAATTATAATTTTTTAAAAATTATTTTATTTTTTTATATTAATATTTAAGGGTTTTTTTTCTACATACTGTCACCCTAGCAGTACAGTGTCATCATGGTGACACTATACTACTTGGGGGTGATGAAGATTTTTTTTTTTTGTTACACTGATTGCTTTTACACCCATAAAGGCTGTAAAAGCAATCATTTCTCCTCTCTGGCTGCATTCTTGCAGCCATTGAGAACTACTGTGTGAGCTTTGATTGGTCACAGGTTGTCACATGGTATAAGGCTGTTGTGAATAGCCTTGTACCATGTGACCTCTGTGATCATTCACAGATTTCACTAGTAGTAAGCAATGATGTCAGAAGTGAGATCTTGCTTACTACTCTGCATGTGATCACTGATTGGCCAATCAGTGATCACATGATCGGGACCTCGCACAGAGGTCCCATAGGACGATCAGTGTTCCACTGTGTCCGGAGAACACAGCGGGCACCAGATCGCGGTGCTGCGCGCTCCCAGGGAGCATGCACAGTCCATAATGGCAGGTGCCGTTTATGAACGGCAATCCGCCCCTGGAGTGCCACGTCCAGCCGTTTATATACAGCGGCCGGACGGCAAGTGGTTAAAAAAAAAGGTTTTCTTTGTTTAGAAAATGTAGCAAACAGGTAATTTTTCTCCTTCACTGATGTGCGTTGATGAGGTAGCACTGATGAGCATCGATGAGGAGGCACTGATGGGCACTAATAGACAGCACTGAGGGCACTTACTGGCGGCACTAATGGGCGAAGATTGGCAGCACTGTTGGCCATTGATGGGCACTTTTGCGGCTGTACTGATAATCTAGATTAATCAGTGCTCAGATTATCAGTGCTGATGTCTCCTGCCTTTAACTGGCAAGTGTATTTACATGGTGATTACCTGTGTTTGGATACAGCTGTTCACATGGTAAAAGGCCGCTGTGATTGGCCTTTTGCCATGTCACGTGATCAAACTATGTCCAAAGGACACAGCGATTGCAGGGTGCACACCGCTGGGGGCGTGTTCTGGGACGACATCATATGACGCCCCCTAGAACTGGACGACTGCACTGTAGCCGTGATGTGTCTCTTGCGCGGTCAAGAAGTGGTTAAGGCTTCATGCACACTAACCTTTTTTTTTAAGCTCCTAGAAGCTGTTCTTAGCATTTCTTTTCTGCTCTTAGAAGCTAGTGTTATCCTATGTGTTCATGCACACTACTTTAGGCTATTAGTGTTTTTTTGAGCTTCAGCGTCTAGGTCTAGGAGCATGAAAAAAAAAAACATTTTTTTTTGGCAATGATGAGGCTGCACTTATCAGTGCCCTGATGATCAATGTAAACCATGTACTAACAGTTTTGCCAGTTATTGGCTTTCCTTTCCTCACAGGTACAACGTGTGAGGAAAGGACTGCCAATAACCAGCAAGTCTGTTTACAAGTGATCAGCTGTAAGTGAACACAGCTGATCACATGGCAAAGGGCTGATGTGATTTGCCCTTTACAGCGATCACAGAGCGTGCGCATGGATGCCCCCCTCAGAACTAGACAACTGCAATGTAGCCATCTTTTGGCTATAGCATGGTCAGGAAGCAGTTTACTTGGTTGTGAATTAGTATCAGGAAATCGACACAGGGCCATTTATTCGACGTGTGTTTTGTAACAAATTGATTTTCAGATGAAAATGTAATTATTGGAGATTCAGATCTATACAAATCTCTCAATGTACATAGTAACGAATGTCATTCATTCTGAAAAAAGCTATAACAACATTAACAAATGCATATGTATCATTCAGATGATGTCAAATGATGCTAGAGTAGTTCAGGCCCATGGGGAAATGAATTCAGTTTTCACATTTGTTTGATCATTTGGATTCGAGTAAATTTGTGATTTAAATTGAATTTGTAATTGTCACAGTCAGTCAGTTCAATTCCACAGTCTAATGCAGTTCTTAGGTTTGAAAATTTCAGGGCTGCCAAATTTTGCATTATATTTATTCAATTGCATCTGAAAATATCGAATAGTTTAGATATATGTATAACAAATCCACCCGAAATATTGAAACTGAAAACTAATACAGTGATTGAAAAGTAACTCCCTTTTTTTAAACTATTTATAAATGTTTTATATGAAGTTACTTTTTTCTCAATTCTTTAATGTTTGTTCCTTAATTGATGACAATTAAATCTGTGATACCATGAATGCCGAAAGGTATCTCACTATGCTGCAAGATGAAATCTGGCCAGTTGTCAATACCTGGGAGAATATTGAAGACTTGATTTTTATGCAAGATGGTGCTCCTCCACATTTTGCTATGTATTACTCCATCACTCAAATGAATACTTCAATTTTCTGCGTGTCTGGCCATTTAAATGTGCAATCTTTGGTCTGCACGTATAGTTTACACAAAAAAAAGGTGCCCCCTTGGTGTAGTATAAAAGGCAATCAATTTTATTGAATTAAAAATCTTAGAAAACATAAAATACAATGTGCAAAAACTACTGACAGCGGTGCTTTCGCTCTCACATCACCTCCATTCCAAGCTTCCTGTCGCCTAGCTCTGCCTACACACATATCATCACAGTCACATGACTTCCTCAGTAGTTCCTCACTGGCGAGAACTAAAGTAAGTATTGCTGCCTTTAGTTCCGCTTTAAGACACCTATTAGGTAGCCCATTTGAATGGGTCTTTAACAATCTCCAATGTATGTTAAAATATACCAGCATTTCATGTAGGCAGCCCAACACATTGCAGGGCCTGTACATCCACATCAGTGCATTGTGTGCTGTGCAGGTGCGTGGACTGATATTGAATATGTGTGTTGGATTACCATTGAGAGTGATGACAAAGGCTGCCATCCTTTCGAAAATGCTAATTTCTATGTTATTAAATTTAGTTCTCTGGCTTTAATACAGAGATATTGACCTGGTACAAGAATGCCGGTCATTAATGTAAAAAAAAAAAAGTCAGAAGTCCTTATCTAGATTTAAAGGCCTTTGATACAATTGTTCTTTAAGGCTCTGTTCACATCATTGCGTTTTTTAGTGCTTTTTACAGAAACACGCTACAGTCCATTTAACATGGTTGCTTATGAAACAGCTTTTTTTGAGCTGCTGCATTTTTGGAAAGGGTCAGGGACTTTATTAAAGGCGAAAAGCAGCGTTTTTACTACAATAGAGTTCAATGGAGAAGCTGCTGAAATGCATGGTAGTGCATTTGTGCTGCATTTTGCATTTTTATTCTGCCCAGCAAGAAAAACAATTGCACTTAAAAAAAAAAGCTTGACAAAATGCAGTAAAAATGCATCAAAAACGTGTAAAAAATGCATGTAGAAATGCATGTAGAAAAACACAAAATGAACTGCAAAAAGCAATGCAAAATGGACAAAAAGCAAGCTGCATAGGTGTGAATGGTGCCTTAAGCACTGGCTTGCCCCCAGACTAAAAGGGTTTAATGCTTGTTTAGATCTAGGGGATAAGAAAAAAATATTTTTCAGCATTGCGATCCTTCAACTTTTCATGGAAAGGATGGCAAATAGAAATGGGCAGTTGAAAAAAAAAGAAGAAAATCAAGATTCTCAACTACAGGCCTAAAATATGTGAGGACTGATTAGGAAAGGAGCATGGAAGAGAATTTGGAAAGGCGCTAATGGCTAAGGTGGATTGGTGTACTATGTAATCAATCTTGCTATTTTAGTACTCTACAGGATCCTGAACTGAGAGCAGAGGAAGGGTGGATTCAGTTAAACAGGGTAGTGTGTTTAAAAGCCATAACAAATATTAAACACACAGGACATGAGGTAACAGAGCCATGGATATATACTGGATAAAATTAGCATGGTTTACTCTGTGGGTATTCTGTTTCAGCATTTGTTTTTTGGTTTTGAAGCAGTATAAACATTATTTGGCTCCTGCATCATTGGTTGTACTCCAAAGCTGGCAGTGCACTAAGCATTATCTGCAAACACTATGATATGGCTCAAACATCTCTGTGTATGTTTAACAGAATAGGTAATCGTCCAAATGGTCAGACAAGGAGCACCTGTAACTTGCAGTTTACTAAACAGATTCAAAGTTAGAAGCAGTAATGCAAAAACAAGACAAGAATGGCAAAGAGCATGTATACACTGCAGAATAATACAAAACAGATTAAGAAACCTGCACAGACACGGACTTCACAGCAATGTCTCTGTGCACAGCATACAGGTGAAACTCAAAAAATTAGAATATCGTGCAAAAGTTCATTTATTTCAGTAATGCAACTTAAAAGGTGAAACTAATATATGTGATAGGCTCATTACATGCAAAGCAAGATAGTTCAAGCCGTGATTTGTCATAATTGTGATGATTATGGCTTACAGCTCATGAAAATCCCAAGTCCACAATCTCAGAAAATTAGAATATTGTGAAAAGGTGCAATATTCTAGGCTCAAAGTGTCCCACTCTAATCAGCTAATTAAGCCATAACACCTGCAAAAAGTTCCTGAGCCTTTAAATAGTCTCTCAGTCTGGTTCAGTAGGAATCACAATCATGGGAAAGACTGCTGACCTGACAGTTGTGCAGAAAACCATCATTGACACCCTCCATAAGGAGGGAAAGCCTCAAAAGGTAACTGCAAAAGAAGTTGGATGTTCCCAAAGTGCTGTATCAAAGCACATTAATAGAAAGTTATATGGAAGGGAAAAGTGTGGAAGAAAAAGGTGCACAAGCAGCAGGGATGACCGCAGCCTGGAGAGGATTGTCAGGAAAAGGCCATTCAAAAGTGTTGGGGACTTTCACAAGGAGTGGACTGAGACTGGAGTCAGTGCATCAAGAGCCAGCACACACAGATGCATCCTGGACATGGGCTTCAAATGTTGTATTCCTCTTGTCAAGCCGCTCCTGAACAAACAACGTCAGAGGCGTCTTACCTGGGCTAAAGAAAAACAGATCTGGTCTGTTGTTCAGTGGTCCAAAGTCCTCTTTTCTGATGAGAGAAACTTTTGTATCTCATTTGGAAACCAAGGACCCAGAGTATGGAGGAAGAATGGAGAGGCACACACTGCAAGTTGCTTGAAGTCCAGTGTGAAGTTTCCACAGTCTGTGTTGATTTGGGGAGCCATGTCATCTGCTGGTGTCTGTCCACTGTGCTTCATTAAGTCCAGGGTAAACGCAGCCGTCTACCAGGAGATTTTGGAGCACTTCATGCTTCCTTCCGCAGACGAGCTTTATGGGGATGCTGACTTCATTTTCCAGCAGGACTTGGCACCTGCCCACACTGCCAAAAGCACCAAAACCTGGTTCAATGACCGTGGGATTACTGTGCTTGATTGGCCAGCAAACTCGCCTGACCTAAACCCCATAGAGAATATATGGGGCATTGTCAAGAGAAAGATGAGAGACATGAGACTGAACAATGCAGAAGAGCTGAAGGCCGCTATTGAAGCATCCTGGTCTTCCATAACACCTCAGCAGTGCCACAGGCTGATAGCTTCCATGCCACGCCGCATTGAGGCAGTAATTGCTGCAAAAGGGGCCCAAACCAAGTACTGAGTACATATGTATGCTTATACTTTTCAGAGGTACGATATTGTTCTATGTACAATCCTTGTTTTATTGATTGCATGTAATATTCTCATTTTCTGAGATTGTGGATTTGGGGTTTTCATGAGCTGTAAGCCATAATTATCACAATTATGACAAATCACGGCTTGAACTATCTTGCTTTGCATGTAAAGAGTTTATTTCATATATTAGTTTCACCTTTTAAGTTGCATTACTGAAATAAATGAACGTTTGCACGATATTCTAATTTCTTGAGTTTCACCTGTAGTCTCTATAAGACTTTATAACAACAGAGAGTTTACCTGAGAATCACTACTTAACCACTTTCCCTCTAGAGGATTTACCCTCCTTCCTGTCCAGGCCATTTTTGCTATACGGCACTGTGTTACTTTAACTGACAATTGCGCGGTCATGCAACACTGTACATTAGTGAAATTTATGTCTTTTTTTCCCCACAAATAGAGCTTTATTTCTTTTATCACCTGTGCATATGTAAATGTATTCTGCTACATGTGTTTGCTGAAAAAAAAATCTCAATACGTGTAAATTAATTGGTTTACGTGAAAGTTATAGCGTCAACAAATGGCGGTATATATACTGGAATTTTTATTTTTTATACTAGTAATGGCAGCAATTGGCTACTTATAGCGGGACTGTGGCATCCTTCTGACACTGGGGAGAGGGGGGGACTTATTGCCACTGACACCCCAATGGCACTAATACAGTGATCAGTGCTAATAAAAAGCACTGACACTATACTAATGACACTGGGCAGCAAAGGGTTAACATCTGGGCCAAAATGTTAACTCTGTGCTGTGCTGTGTTTTACTAGGAAAATATGCTGCTGTGTATTTCAAAACACAGCAGCATGTTATTGCTGGCAGGAGAGAGAACTGCTTACACATAGGTCTCTCCCGTGAGTGTTACTTGGCGATCGCCAGGTGTTGGTGGTGAATCTCCAGCCGGGACCTGGAGATTGACATCTGTAGCCACCAATGGAAATGCAAATCACGTGTATATATATATATGTGATTTTGCGTAGCCATACCGCCTTGCAGTACTTCTGCTATAGGGCAAAGGGGAAGTGGAGTTCTGCCCCCCCCCCCAAAAAAAAAATCAAAAGTCAGCAGCTACAAATACTGTAGCTGCTGACTTTTAATATCAGTGCACTTACCTGTCCAGGCATCCAGCGGTGTCCTCGCCTGACTCGATTCTTCAGTCAGCTATCGGTGCTGGAGCTGCCATCTTTACTAAGGGAAATCTGCAGTGAAGCGATGTGGCTTCACAGACATTTTCCTACTTTGCATGCGTGAAGACCGCTGTGCTTTGTAAATGGGCTGCATTCTTCTGGGTCTTTGAGGAAGGGGGGGGGGCAAACTTCTGGATCAGCTCGCCGCATCAAAACCAGGTACCTGCTCCCCCCCAAAGGTGCCAGATCCAAAAGGTGCCAAATGTGGCAGCGGAGGAGGGGAGGAAGCAGATAAGTGGGGCTTCCCCTTTTGGGTGGAATTTTGCTTTAAGTAAAAGAGTACAGAACACAGCTACTTATAATTATCCTCAGACAAAGGGACACTCCACCAGAACTGCAGTACTCTGGTGGCAATAGGGGAGATACTCCCCACAGTACCTGGGTCTTTGGGAGAAGCTGCATCCTATAAGTCTCTAGTCTCGCTGTCCGCATAATAGTTTTGACAGTGGGGGGCTATTCCCCTGGCTGCAGATCACTTGCTCATCTACCTCTGCCTTATCAGGTGTGGCCTCTCTGAACTGCTGGGGAGTGAAGCTGAGGAATTTATATTCCTCAGGCATCCAAAAACAACCTAGGGAGTTGTGGGAAAAGAAGTTATGGTGGTCTGCATCTGAGCACGATGTGTAAATGGGCAATCCGTTACATATTTTAAAAATGGAGCGAATGATCTGCATCACTGTCCTATCCAGAAGAACTTTTACTATGCTGGAAAACCATTTCTCTCCTTTTATCATGACAGAGAGAGTGGCCCTTTGTGCATGATATTGTAATAATTTGAAATAATCAGTAACAAGATGTAGCAGTCACAGGCAATTGATTCAAGAACAAGCAAATATTGTTGGCTACATGATCAGTTTGCTGGTAATCTTTAGATCACCTTTTTTAAAGCTGGAATATAATGTAAACACAATGGGAGAATTAAAGTGATTGTTAAAGCTAGAAGTAATGAAAAAATAAATATGTTATACTTACTTGCTCTGTACAATAGTATTGCACAGAGCAGCCCCCAACCTCCTCTTCTGGGGTCCCCCGCTGGTGCTCCATGCTTTTCTTTTTCGTGCTCCACCATAAGAAGTCTCTTCCTATGGGGCAGACATGCTGGCTCACTCCTGATCCAGGCTGTGTGCAAATATAGACACACACAGCGTGACTCGGCCCTTCCCCCTGTTCTCTGCTCAGAGGATTTGACTGATAGCAGCAGGAGGCAATAGCTCCTGTTGCTGCCCAAGTTCCTGTTAGAAGAGGAAGAGAAGAGAGAGAAAACCTTAAGGCCCCTTTTACATGGGTGTTCTGTTTTTTTCATCAGTTCAGTCATGTTTTTTCCAAGCAAAAATGGATCAGTTTACATCCATTCTTTCATCCATTTACATCAGTTTCCTTCATCCATTTACATCAGTTTTTTCATCTGCTTACATCAGTTTTTTTCATCAGTTGTATTGTCTGTTTTTTGTTTGTTTTTTTATGGAAGAAAAATAGGGTTTTCTTCTGTTAAAAAAAAAGAGATGTTAATGGATACAGACATTAACGGATGTAAACAGATGATCATCTGTTTACATCCACTAGTCCATAGAAATACATGAGTGCCCGTTTTTCATCTGCAAATGAACAGATATAAAAACGGACATACGGAATGCCCGTGTGAAAGTGGCCTACGTCAGGAACAGGGATGGACCTCTGACAGGTTCAAGTAAGTGTTTGGAAAGGGGGGAGGGAATTCGTAAGTGGAGTGTTTTTTATTTCTGTGCAGGAAATGCATTTGGGTAAAAAACCCAGGCTTTAGAACCACTTAAACCACCTCCCGCCAACCATATAGTAATATGACGGGCGCAAGGTGGCTCTCTCGTTCTGGGAGGACGTCATATGACATCCTTCCATTCTCACTGCGCATGTGTGGCTCAGGGAGCGTGCGACGATCGGCGGTGCGCTGTGTCATGCGGACACAGTGTATCACCGATCACGGAAAGAGCCAAAGATGTCGGCTCGGTCATGTGACAGCTGTGTCCAATCACAGCTGATCACATGTAAACAGGGAAATGCCGGTTATCGGCATTTCTCTCCTCTCGAGCTGTCACGCTGACAGCTCGAGAGGAGAGCCGGTAATCGGCTTTCCGTGGAGGGGACATCTACACTGATCATCAGGGCACTGATGATCAGTGTGGCCCCAGAAGTGCCATCTGTCAGTGTCCATCAGTGCCTAGTGCCAGTGCCCATCAGTGCCACATATCAGTGCCCATCTGAGCTGCCTTTCAATGTCACCCATCAGTGCCACCTATCAGTGCTGCCTATCAGTGCCAGTCAGTGCTGCCTATCAATGCGCATCAGTGCCGCCTATCAGTGCCAGTCAGTGCCTCCTAACAGTGCCAGTCAGTGCCGCCTAACGGTGCCAGTCAGTGCCGCCTATCAGTGCCATGTATCAGTGCTGCCTTTTAGTGCCCATCAGTGATGCCTGTCAGTGCCCATCAGTGCCACCTACCAGTGCCTCCTCATCAGTGCCACCTATCAGTGTCCATCAGTGCAGCCTATCAGTGCCCATCACTGCAGCCTCATTAGTGCACATCAGTGAAGGAGAAAAATCACTTATTTACAAAATTGTATAACAAAAACTAAGAAATTTTTTCAAAATTTTCAGTGGTTTTTGGTTTGTTTAAGAAAAAATAAAAAACCCAGAGTTGATTAAACACCACCAAAATAAAACTCTATCTGTCACAAAAAAATGATAAAAAATTTCATATAGGTATAGTGTTGCATGACCGTGCAATTGTCATTCAAAGTGCGACAGCGCTGAAAGCTGGAAATTGGACTGGGCAGGAAGGGGGTATAAGTGCCCTGTAGGCTAGTGGTTAAAGCTGAACTCTAGGAGTTATTTGTATTGTGTACATAAAGTACATTGATCCAGCTTGGCACAATGTGAGTATGCATTACTCATAACTAATGGACCACTGTGGAAGCTGGAAATCACTGTAGTAGTCGGTGCAAGTGGTAGCCATGATCCTCCAGTTTCTGTTCAGGATTTATGTGAGTGGCTGCCCCACTGCACACTGAACATAGGGGGGTCCCTCGCTCAGCACTGTTGTCATTCCTAGAATGTCTTGTATTTTTTTTTATGAAAACAAGGCATTGTCTGAATTGACAAGATGGGGATTGTGACATCTCCTCTCCATCTTGCCCAATCAGAGAACACTTTGTGTTCTCTGAAAGGAATACAAGAAGTTCTAAGAATGATGGCGGTGCCAAGTGAGTGTCCGCCATGGTCAGTCTGTAGTGGGGCAGCCACTTGCATAGAACCTGAACAGGACCCAGACGATCACAGCTATCATTGTACTTCATAGAGATTTTTAAAGAAAACCTGTACTGAGGAAGTATGGGGAGTAACTCTCCATAGAAAATACTAGATCCCAACTGTTATGCTGATGCTATGAATTTGTTAATTTCTCAGTAACTGACCTGGAAAAGTATGTAGATTAGGAATTCTACTTTACTCTAAATCCCCTGAGCTGCAAGCTAACTAAACAAGACAGTCAGGCAACCAGCAAAGAGGTAAGCAATGCAGTCTCTGTTTTTCGCTTAATACTGCTTTCTTTTGGACTTGTTTACACCAGGTGTGTTGAGCCAAGTTAATGAGCTTTGATCAATGCAGGCTTAGTGCAAGGATACACAGAAGAGGATTGTTTTCCTTGTGCCCATTTACACAGTATGAATCCTTTCACACTGGAGAGCTTTAGATACATTTCCATTGACTTAAAATGGAAGGTTCCTTTTTGGTGAGCTTTTGTAAAAACTGCACCAAAGATGTAGCATGCAGGACTTTTCAAAGCTCAGTGCATCTGTCACATATTATTTAACAGGTAGTAATTTTCATGCGCTTTTGTCACCCTGGAAAAGTACAAAAGGGCAGCAGTGTGAAAAAGGGTCTTCAGCTGTGTTGGCATGTGTTATGTAAAAATGCAGCAAGTCTACAGTTTTACATAGTACATCTCACAAAAATGCATTTCAACACACTGCAACAATGTACTGTTGTGCAACACACCGCAACAATGTGCTGTTGTGCATATAAGTGAATAATTGTCATTTTACGGCATAAAAAAACAGAGCGTTGCAGTGTAACAACAAATCACACCTCCCCTGCACAATGCACACTAGAGCGGGTATGACATGGACCATAATGTGAACGGAGCCTTGTTGGACCCTGTCATGTTATTGCTTTTGGTCAAATATGCTAGCAGGAGTTGAATGCAATGCAAGCAAAAGTAGAACAATGTATTTGTAAGGGAAAGTGGGGCTAAGTTAAATATGATTATAGCAGTCATAGATAGAGTGAGATGAGCTTGGTCGTTCTGCGATCTCATTTCTAACAGGAGTGAGCCCAGAAGTGTTTGGATACTAGTCAAACCCACCTGAGATATCCTTCCATGAAGCTATCACTGCGGACCACCAATCATAAGTGGTCGAGGCATTCCCTACCCTGCAGCTGCACATATACGAGGGTTGTGTATATGTGCAACTTCAGGGCGGGGAATGCCTAGCTGCTTATGATTGGTGGTCTGCAGTGACCGTTTCATGGAGGAAAAGTTCAGGTGAGTTTGAACTGGTATGTGAATACACTTGTGCTAATCCCTAATCTCTAACCTGTACTTCAAACTTCTGCTTGCAATGAGCTGCTAGACAGGTAATTTCTTGCCCCACAGTTCACTGAAGCTGCTGGGTGGGGAATGACCTATCCCGCAGGTCATTGGAGTACAAAAAAGTGAGACTTCAAAGTTCAGATAGAGAGAAGTTTGGAGAACACCCAAGCTCTCTAGCCCTGACAGGCTTAGGTCATGAGGTGGTCAGGCTATCAGTAATCTGACACTCAACTGATTCTTAGTTTTGAATAAGGAGACAATTGAAATTATGGTGGACAATATTCAAAACCACCAATTGTACAAAGGTATTGTTGAACAATTTTGATGACAAGTTTGGTAACTTGGTCACTAAGTATCAGGCAATAATGAAACCATGGCTGCCCTGAGCAGCCAGGGTAGTGTTTAAACCCTCAAGCACACTTGAATGATTCCCTTTGAACAAGTTTCACCCTGGCATTATCTGGTCATTTAAAGCAGAATGCAAGGACACACCCCTTATGAGTAAGTCAAGCAAATGACGAAACGTGTCAAGGGACGTGCCGTTGGACATTGCCAGAAAGACCGGAAGCAACAGAGCGGCCATCTTTAGTGTGGGAAACACAGTCTGGCGTTCCTGGAAGCTGCTAGAGGTTGGAGTCATGGGATTTTAATGGGAATGTGATATGATTTTAATGTAAGCAGATTTATTAAAGCGTGGATCTTTTATACCTTCACACATATTGCACTATATGGCTTTGTTCTTTTCCTCTATGGTTACTATGGAGCATAAGAAGGTGGCATTAATGAAGTGAACATTTAAGGGATCTGAAGGCATCCATGTGGATCTTGCTGGTGTATATCCCTCTCTGGATTCTTATACTTATATATAGCTTGCATATTTTTGCATTATGGTAAGGGTATGTAATTCAGCCACTTAGAAGTGTACACTGAATGTCACGGAGAAGTGTATATAATAATAGTGCACAGAGTGTTTCACTGTCACTAGTGTGGTCACGATTTGTGTACGAAATCAATGAGGAATTATTTGGATAATTATGTATTTAACAATTTTTGAGGATATTGCTCTATTGAGTTCTCTTTGTTTTGAGGTGCACGGCAATTATTGAAAAGTCATATGGAGAGTTTTCCAGAAATTGGAAAAGGATTTATGGATTTTTTTTTCTGTGATTTTTCACATTGTTTATGAAAACTAAAAAGTTTTTATTATATTGATACAGTGATTTTTTTCAAGAAATTGGATAAGTATTTATGGTCTTTTTTTTTTCATGTTTTACACTGTATATGAACACTAAAAAGGTTTATTATATCGAAAACAAGGTGTGCTGTAACTGGACAAGTGGGGGGGGGGGGGGTTGAGGGTTGGGACTTGGGGATAACTGACAGGATCCCTTCACCTCTTAATAGATACTTTTTAAACATCTGAATCTGTTTAGATGTCTGTGGCTGTAGTTGTATTTTAAAGTGGACCTTCACCCAAAAAGTTCCATTTATCCTCCACTTCCCCCAGCTCCTAACTAAACTCCATTTTTTTTAGGGGAGCAGGTACCTTTTTTCAACAGGTAACAACCACTTCCTCAATCCTCACCTAGGCAAGGATGACGTCAGTTACCCTCCCCACCTCTACACGCAGCCTCCTGGCACATGTCACTTATCCCATGAGGCTACAAGTGTAGTCTCACAATGTCACATTGCCACACACATGTGCAGAGAGGAGCCAGCTGTGAGACATCACAAAGTTACAGCCGGCTCCCACATCCAAGATGGCAGTGGTGGGAATCTGAAGCCTGGCGAAGAAATTGCACTGGGGAAGACTGTGCTGGAATCTATGGGCTGGTAAGTACCTGTTTGTTAAAGGTCAGCAGCTACAGTATTTGTAGTTGCTGACTTTAAATTTTCAATAACAGAAGTGCCTGTGTAAGTAAAAAATTTATGCTAAAATTTGCAATATATGGTCTGCTTTACTGTATATTCAAAACTAGCTATCAAATATAAAGATTACAAAACAAGAGATAGGAGAGATGGAGTCATGTTTGATGAAGTTTGAAATTATTGCTCTGAATGTCCCCTTGACGCCATTGCCCCTATGTTTGCTGTGCTGGATTAGGTCACAAATGGCAAAGAAGAAAAGGGAAGCAAAATAAAGTGTTTTCAGTTTGTAAATGTTGGGGGGTACTGCATTCCCTATCCCGCTGTCCTAGGCACCTTTTCAGGATTTTTGCTGCTCAAACACTCTGGTGAACCTCAAGGTTAATACTGTCATAGGAAGTACAGTATAAAATAAGTGGTTGACACTCCATTCTATTCCCAAAGTGGTTGAAGGTGCCAGCAATTTCAAAGAATTTCTGAGAGACAATAAAGGTGACAGACTAAAACATTATTCATTTGAATAGGAAATGTCATAACAGAAGGAACCTTCATCAAAAGACAGTTGATGTAGTCAGATAATTGTTACAACATACTGTATATTCTGCAAACTATTATCGCTGGACAACAAAAGTTTTCTACTGACGCTGGAGGACTTTTAAATGTAAGCAATCTGCTTCTTTTTTGCTTCTGAACATCAGTTACCACCTTCAGCTACTATCCTGAAAATGGCTGACCACAGGAAATATCTAAGCGCCTATAGATCCTTTTGTATCAAAAAGTACCTCTCAGAATAGGACCTTCCATTTAAGCATAAAATTGACCATACACATAAGAGATAATAAAGGAGAATTAGTTAATTCAACCAAAGATATAGTAAAAGTGTTTAAAGAATATTACAATAAGTTATATAATATTAAGA